TTTCCAAAAATGCTAGCCTAAACACTCAATTTATCGGGATGTTGCGTATGTACCTCACGAAATATGTTTTCTTGGATTTGAATAAGCCCAATAGCGGCAGTTGAGACGATTTACCGTACCGTTCAAGAAAAAAGGAGCATTCATCAGAGAAATATACAAACTGCTGCTTCATTTATTGAAAAAAAATAATTGGGTTATGAGTTGTTCAATAGTGAGGGAGGAGGAAATAAAACGGAAAAGGGGGTTAGTAGGACATCAACTAAAATACCATTTAATTATACTCCATTATTTAATACAATTTTTTTATATTCAATACAATATTTATTTAATACAATATTTCCAGGTATACATACAATATTTCCAGGTATAATACGTACGAAATAACGTCCTAGGGCATTATGGAGATGTAGATTATTTGAGTGTTTGGGCTAGCATTGTTGATAACCGTAAATAGGCCCCTTTTTTACCTATAAATTTAATAGGAGAAATGTACCTAGAGTGGTTAGAAGTTGCGATTCATCCAAAATTGGTGGAGATACTAGAGAATGATAACAGATGCATACACTAATATTCCAACAAGATTGTGCGTCATCCCATTATGCTGCAGTGGCTCGTCAATATTGAGTGGCCCCCGCGTTCTCCAGATTTTAGCCCATTATATTTTTTCTTCTGAGGTCATTTTCAGCATTTACTTGATTGATTTTGTTTTTAAAGCATTTTTTTAAATAAAAATATTTCAACATGTTTTTGTAACTTTAATTAGCCCCTGTAATGGCTAGGTAGATAGTAGCGATGTGAGACTCGGGGGTTATAATCTACATAAAAATAGCTTCAAAATAAGGTATCACTCGACCCCTCATTCCATTTAAAATTTTGGGGGCCCTTGTCACCCCCGCTAGGGCTTTGCCCCCCAGGGGGTGAAAACACCAAAAAAATGGTTCCCCCTTAAATCAAAAATCGACGGGTACGAGGGTTTTTTCTTAAATGTCTTGGGGAGCCCGAAATCACCTCTGTTTCGTTTTCAATTGGCCACCCTGTATATTAGTCGTACATAAAACACTAAAAGGAACACAATGGCGCAAAAATCAGCTTGTAGCAAATTTGTTTAGGGTTGCCCACCTAGTTTTACTAGCCTAAAGCCTAGACGGTCATGATTTCATAGTTACATACTATTACATTACAATATTTGCATGTTGCTCGAGTATTGTTGTATAGGATTTTTACGCTATATTTAGGATGACGTCACATTTACTAACTTTCTGCTGACAACCTAACAAAACTAAAAGTACTTTTCAACGCATTTAAAGTAAGAGAATGTTTTTGGTTGGCAACGGCACACGACGTTACATGACTTACCTATATATAAGCATTTTCATTTCGTTATTTTTAGCTGTCGTCAGAATTGTTGACACATGACATTCCGATAAATTATAAGAAAATAAAAATAGGCACTGACCACATTGCCTATTCTGGTTCGATCGATGACGTCATCCTAAATATAATATAAAAAACCTACTAGATGCCTAAGAAGCTGTGTTATGAAATCACCCCCCGATTAGGGGATGGTTTTGTAATATTTTTAATGATCTCATCTACGTTACCTGATGGAAGAAAATGAAATAACTATGAAATCCAATTATAATTAAGGAAATATGTTTTTTGAAATAGTAGTCCAGAGAATAGTTAAAGAACTGGAGTAAAACACACAGTCTATCTTCACTCTTTATTTTACAAAAATAATCAGTTGGAAGGGGGGTTGTACATGTTTCGGATCTATCATAGATCCATCATCAGCATAAGTTCTACAAGTTACAAAAATATGGGAGTTATGGGGAGGGCCTGGGGTGTATACATCAAAAACTTACCAAATGGCATAGGGAAAATATGGTCATATACGACATGCCTAAGTATAATAATTATACATTAAAATATAAGTGTTCATGCTGTTATCAGCATAAAGTTGGTGGCTAAAGCCACATCCAACACAGAACATATTTACAAAACTGGAATAGAGGAAGCTTGTGAGCACGATTTCAAAAATTACGTCAAAGTTTAAACCTTTGGTAAGTTGTAAGTTTGGTAAGTACATGCTTAAAGGGCCCATACACTACAATGAAACACGACAGTTTTCATCGCCACGATGGAACACGTCGTTCTAAAACCGAAGTGTGTGATAGAAAAACACGACAGTTTTCTACAGGGCCCCACAGACTACGATGAAACACGACGGTTTTCATCGCCACGATGAAACACGTACAGTACATTATTGTCTTTTTATACCTTAGATACCATCTACATAATTCATCACTTTATGCCCGTGCGGGCATAAAGTACACATTCTGGCCCACGCGGGCATAATGTACTATTCTAAACATCAGGTTGACAATTACGCCGCAAATGACGTCGTTTGTGTGTACGCAAAGTACATTGATTTCAAATAGTCCCCCTGGTATGACATAAAAGTTTTTATGTCATACCAATACATTATTGTCTTTTTATACCCTAGATACCATCTACATAATTCATCAGTTTATGCCCGTGTGGGTATAAAGTACAGGGTGGCCCAAATTCGAGCCGCATCATTGGCATCTCGGTAACCGTAAGAGATACGGGGTCGGTTAAATTATGGCAAAGTTGCGCAATTTTATGACCAATAGAATGCCGTTTTGAAACTAGAAAGAATCCGAATACTTCCGGAGATATTAGGAAAAAACCGAAATTTTGTAAAATCGTTTGTAAAAAAATTTCGCAACTTTGCCATAATTTAACCGACCCCGTATTTCTTACGCTTACCGAGATCCCAATGATGAGGCTCGAATTTGGGCCACCCTGTACACATTCTGGCCCGCGCGGGCATAATGTACCATTCTAAACATCAGGTTGACATTTACGCCGCAAATGACGTCGTTTGCGTGTACGCAAAGTTGCATCGATTTCAAATAAAGTCCCCCTGGTATGACATAAAAGTTTGTATGCACCACGGGTACTAATAGATATATACCATCGGGCGACCTACGAACCCTCGGGCCAGAGGCCCTCGGCTTTGTAAGGCTGTCGCCCTCAGGGCATAATCATCTACTTAGTACCCTTGATTCATAAATAACTATTATGTACAACAATTTTAACTGTATTTACGTACAAAACCTTTATCTATCTCACCCTTAATTTAATGTCACTATTAATTTATTATCACACAATCTTTATATTCTGTTTATTGTTTGTAAAAACTTGTCACTGTGATGTACCTATTTTCAGCATCCTGAGGATGACCATATATTGGTCGAAACGTTGATCAATACAACAAATTTAATTCTCCAAGCTGTTTTACTGACCTATTACCAACCAACAACTCCACTTCTAAATTTATTTTTATTTATTGCTCATTTTCTGAGGAGGTTGTATATACAGGGTGTCCCACAATCAGCGTTACAGGCCATAACTTTCTTATTTTCAAAAATAAAAATTTGAAACAAAAAAATTATCAATGGCTAATTAAGCTCTCTTCAAAAATATAAAAAAATCATCCCCTGAAAAAATCATCCCCTATTTACAACCCTGGACTTTTTTTTTTCAAATGGCACCCCTATTATTATTTTTATTTTTGAGAAGCTTATGAAATTACAAATTTGTATGGTGTATAAAAAGTTTGTTTTTCCATGTCTCTTGGGGGAAAAAAAATGGGTGTCCCACCCTTAGTCTTATACAGGCAATCACATTTTTGTCTACAGAAATAAAAATATGACAAAAAAAATTTAATTGTGTGCAAATTAACCCCTTTTCAAGAATATTAAAAAAATCTTCCCTAACAAACTCATCCCCTAAAAACAACTCTTGCCTTTTTTTTCAAATAGAACCTCATTATTATTATTTTCATTTTTGAAACATGGAAAAAAAAACTTTTCATACATCATTGAATTTGCAATTTCATGAACTTCTCAAAAAAAAAAAAATTAGGGGTGCCATTTGAAAAAAAAAAGTAAAGGTTTGTAAATAAGGGAGGATTTTGTCAGGGGATGATTTTTTATATTTTTGAAGAGAGCTTAACTAACCATTGGTCAATTTTTTTTTTCGAATTTTTATTTCTAAAAATAAGAAAGTTATGGCCTGTAACGCTGATTGTGGGACGCCTTGTATATGAGCAACCCTGTTGGATACCGCCTCCTGTTTCAAATTTTTTGTTTATATAATTAGGTATTATCTGCATAAATAAAGACATTTTATTATTATTATTATTATTATTATTATTATTATTATTATTATTATAATTATGATAATAATAAAAAAATTATCATTTGTTGCTTCAACCATAAAATATTTTGAGAAATTTTTTAGCTTTTTTTCCGACATTAGGTCAACTGGATCATATTAAGAAATTGAGATAATTGACTTAACGAAGTTATTCAAGCTTACCCGGATGGATCAGTGTTTTCGTGAACCTTTCGGATTCTACTGAAACATACAAGTTTGATCGTGTATGACTTACCTATGACCCGCATTGTAAATGTAATACCCTTTGTCGTGACTAACTTTTCCTGTGTGCCAATCGAATGGGCTAACGTGAATTTTAAAATGAATTTTATCATGTATAAATTCAAAGCGAACTCCTAAAATTTATACTATATAACTTCTTATCCATACATAAACCTGTTTTTGTTATTACCTGTTACAATATGGTTCTTCTCAACTTGAATATCGTCCAAAGCCATTGATCTCTCTCCATATGACATTGTGAACACACCAACGTAATTCCATGCACGATTATCGACATTTACCCAGTGCACAGTGGATTGATTGATGTATCCGTAAGGTAAGAGTTTGCCTTCCTGAATTTGTAGATGCAGTATTCTATTCTTTTTAATTAGTCTAACCCCAGTAACTACACTAGAAAATAAACAAAATTCAGGCGTTCACTGAGTGAGTTTATTGTTTAAATGACATTTATACCTATTATTCTTTATATCAGCCAAGACTGGCCTCACAAAGATATATCTATCCGATAAATGCCCCGCTTCGTCGCACAAGCACACGCAATAATCGCAGTCAACGAACCATCTAAGCCAACTTTTTGCCGTTACTTCGTTCGAACAATATGATCTCCCTTTACCAAACGTTTTGCCACTTTTGAACCGTATGAAATCGTAACGTCTATAACGATCATCCTGGAAAAACAAATTGTTAGGGCCGTTTTGATGTTATAGAATTTTTAATACCTATTTAGCAGTACCAGTCATTCTAGTGACAAAACGTATGTCGGTTCTTGAACACACAAATGAAATTAGGTTAGGAATTTACTATTTGTACTTGCATGAATTTTTTTTATTTGCTTATTGGAAAGAGGAGTCAAAATAAATAAAGCTCAACTGTATTTTTTTCCGATTTTTTTCGGACTTGCAAAGGCTCTAAATTTCGATTAGAAGTTCAAATTTCTTGGTGCCGTGACGTCACGGCACCAAATTTCTGATTGGTCAATTTTATTCAGTGTTGCCCAGATGTCAAGAATTTCATGTAAACTTTTCCTGGGGGCGACAACTAAATCGATATATCGAATTCACAGATTTGTAAGTATCGGATATGGAATCGATTCTCATCCCTATGGAAAACTTAACCCAACTTTTCAATTAGGCAATCCAACGACCTGTCCAAATGGCGTCTGGTTGGCAAATAATAAACAAAAAACATATGTTTTTATTTTGACGGGATTAAGCCTAGTACTCATAACCGCGAAATTCGCTCTTTTTTGACGTTTGTTCACACATGAAAAATCAAATTGTCGAAGCAATGTCAAAAAACAGCGAATTTCGCTGTTATGAGTACTAGGCTTTATCAATACTGACATCGTTGACATGTAACAACCCGTATTCTAACCTCATAAAAATTTCAAAATGCCGACTGGTTGGCAAAAGTCACGTGGTTTGGATTCCCTAATTGATTATTCATTATTTATTTTTATTTATTTATTATTAGCTTCTCCAAAACAGACAGAAGAGATGGCAGAGAAGGCACAAGAAACAAACAATAAACCCGAGCATAAGGCCATTATGTCGTTCATAATTGAATACTTCAGGTTCTCATTTACTAGTGTGTGCTTCTAAATTTTAGAGGTTTCTACCTAATAAGCATATAAGGGAATCATTATTTGTAGAAGGTTGCTCTACTCCACCTGCATTTTACTAATACCTATCTACCGAGTAACTAAAGTCTGTTTTTTTTTTCAAGATAATTCCCCAAGTCAAAAATTTAGTAACTATGTTGGCAACACAAGCCTTTTCTACATAAAAAATTTGCAGCATTGACAATTTTACATAGTATTGCCAACATAGATCATTTTGACTTTTATCTTAAAAAAAAAAACAGATTTTATGCTCACCTCTGGCCAGTTTCCTGAATCGGTTTTTACAAACTCTTCTATCCTCCATCGCACAAACAAAATAAACAATAATTACCTAACTATTAAAATTATTATTATTTTTCTTAGTGGTTTATGGGAAATAAAACACGAGTATAATTTTTATGTGTCTTTATTCCATACCTTCCAGTTTCCCTAAAAACCTTTTCAAATTTTCCCAGGGAAAAACATCATTTTTCTTTTTTCTTCAAATTACACTGCCCCAGCCTACTGTTTTGTTGTTAATTATTGTTTATTTTGTGATGATAGAGGTAAATTAGCCAGCCAGGGGTCACTGACCTATGATAAACAAAAATCGCTTTTATCGTTTTCGTACTTTATACTGTGCCGGATTAATACAGATATCGATTTCTTTGTTTAATTCGCATTTATAGACAAGGAAAGAAAATTGTCGATACTAGTCGATACTTCAATTAATAGATGTCGTTCTCTTTCAAGTTTCAAGTGCAAAGTAGAGATGTACCAAAGTCGATACGCAAAGCGATTTTGATAAATATATGCCTCCTTTTCTGTCCGATGTGTCCAAAAAAAAAAAAAAAAGATTCGTTTGGAAGATGGAAATTTGACAATCAGTAATTTTTGATTGGTGGAAAAATATAGCGCAAAATTCAAATAATCTGCTTTTTTTTCTTTGAATTTCTGGCTTCAAGTTTTTTAAAAAAATTAACCAACCATACTGTTATGTAGTACATAAAATACACTTTCGTTACAGATAAATTATATACCTAATTTTGATTGAGTGCAAGAGGTCTATTGACGTATTAGCAATCGACGTTCGTTTTTGTTGGTAATTTTTTGTTTCATCTGATTCGTGGTTGATAAATAAGGATGAAATTATTCTAAATGGGTATTAAAAATAATATACTTGCAAAACGTCTTTTAGTTTTTGCATTGCCAAACTTAATGAAAGTTACTTGATTAAATTGTCCACTGATATAGGGAGTGGTTGTTTTTCGAGGAAAATCATTGGGATCTCGGAACCGGTAAGAGATATTCTACCTACATATTAAAATCAAGGTACTATAAGACTAGTCACAACAAAGTGAGGAAACAAGAGACTATTTTTATAATATCAGTACCAGTGTCGTATCGTATCTACCTTGAGAGTAAATTGAGCAAATCAGCTGCACTATTGAGATAGTGTGCGGGCTGGTTCAATGTAAAGACTGGACTGAATTCAATTGTATATTGAAACTTTTACATTAAATTTGGTGTTGAATAAACAACAAAAGAGGTTAAATATTGATCAAAAAGACCGAGAACGGAATGGTCCCGTTACTCCCGTTTAGGGATGGCAAAAATATATCGATATTTTGTGAATATCGATTTATTGCTCAAATATATCGATATCTTGCATTCGACATATCGAAAAAAATATCGATATAATCTATTCGATATATCGGAAATTTTAAAATAATGCCTTCGCTCGTGCGCACAGTTCTTTTGTTGACTGTGACAGTCTGACAGTTGACAGTGGCGGCTAAAATAAAACAAACGTCAGTTAGGGCTATATATCGATATATTCAAAATATCGATGTTTATCGTTCGATATGTCGAATGTATCGATATGTTATTTCGATATATCATATGATTCGATATATCGATATATTTTTTTATTTTGCCATCCCTACTCCCGTTGTTGCTGGGATCGAAGTGGCGAAATCAAAAGTCAAGTCGCCTCCAGTGTTGCCAGTTATTATCAACTTTCATGCGCCAGTTTTAACATTAAAATGCGCCACCGAAGTGCAATAGGAGTAAAAAGTTGTGGGAGCTTCAAACATCGGCTATAAGGCTATGCAATTGGGTGGCTTAGTCTTGAAATTCATAAAAATATTTCACTTCTGGCGGAGAAGGTGCCCTTTTGGATTTAGATAGTAAATATATCAAAGATTAAAAAACGCCCCAGACCCAGAAAATTTCTGACCACCACTACTAGTTATCACGTCATCAAAAAAAGGGGTCAGAAAACCGCTATTAGGCATGTAAAACTTTACTCAAACATATTTATTTACTAAAATTTAGCTTAAAATATGAGTGTATTGTAGTTGAAAAATGTACTTATTATTATAAAATTCACTTAGAAAAAATGGAATTCAACATATCAATAAAATGTCAAAAGTTTGACATTCTTTTTGCATATACATACGTGTTGAGTATCAATTTGAACGTCCTGTTATCAGAAAAATTGCATAAAGTCTACTGTTTTTTTTTTTTTTTTTTTTCAAAAGATAAAAGTCAAAATGACATTATGTTGGCGATACAATGTAAAATTGTCAATGTTTTCAAAATTTTTATGCATAAGAGGCTTGTATTGCCAACATAGTTACTAAATTTTTGACTTGGGGAGTTATCTTTAAAAAAAAAACAGACCTTAGCAGTTCTAAACATATACAGTGAGCACGTGAAGGTTGGAATAAAGTTTATAAAATATAAAGGGTGGATATTTCTAGAAAAACCTCGGACACGACAATTTTTGATTTTATTGGCCATTTTTTTGACGATTATTCCACTCATGTGTTAGAAATTCCATAAGACAAGTGACGATTTTCAGAATTACAGCGAAGATTCTCTTTCCCATTTGTTTAACTAGAGAGAATTACAGCGATTATACAACTCACTGTACATTATTCCCATATGACACGAGAGGCTTAAAAAGTGATAAGCCTTGGGATTATCGCGCTTGGTGGCATTTATAGCAAATTTCTTTTATAGAATTTTTTTAAAATTTTGAAGTATTAAAGTTTAGTTCGTTGTATAACCTTTTGCTTACCACTCGATGTTTCAGGATTACCTAATACTTTTACCTGACACTCAAAGCGTTACCAGCAACACCACTCCTCCTTCGGAGTCGTGGTGTTGCTGCGTAACGCGTTTCGTGGCAGGTAAAAGTATTATTCGATAATCCTGAGACCTCTTGTGGTATTACATTCGATAATTCTCCCATGTTATTGTATACGTGGTTGTCATGCTAATTTTTGATACAAAAAAACGGTTCCTGATAGCAACCATTTATTTGTTTTGATTGTTAAGATGTTCAAATCGTTTAATACATATTTATTTCCATATTTTTTGCATTCTCATACGTGAAATAATCCTCTAAATACCACTTAAGCTTTAAAATGAACCAGATAATTTTTCACTCATGCGTGTTTTCTCTGCAAATTTCACTCGTCCTACTGACTCGTGAAATTATAGAAAACACGCAATCGTGATAAATTATCGGTAATTTTGAAGCTCTCGTGGTATTATCCCCGATTATACAACTCACTGTACATTATTCCCATATGACACGAGAGGCTTAACAAGTGATAAGCCTTTTGGGATTATCGCGCTTGGTGGCAGTATTGTTCATTTGCTATTAATAATAATAAAAAATTAATAAAGTAATAAAGTTTAGTTCGTTGTATAACCTTTTGAATACCACTCGATGTTTCAGGATTACCTAATACTTTTACCTGACACTCAACGTGTTACCAGCAACACCACTCCTCCTTCGGAGTCGTGGTGTTGCTGCGTAACGCGTTTCGTGACAGGTAAAAGTATTATCCGGTAATCCTGGAACCTCTTGTGGTATTACATTCGATAATACCATATATACAGGGTGACCCAAAAACAAGTTATGACAGCTAACTTAATTTTTTTAAATGAAAACACCAATTTTTTATTTCATTTTTAAATTCTATGTTAAATTCAGAACATATTTCATATATCATGTCGTATACCTATCTTTAACTGTTTCGGAAATATTGACAGTTGAAAATTGACTTTTTGGCAACTTTGACAGGCTGTAGAACCTAAACGGTTAATTTTACAGCAAAACCGATTGTACATTCCTGTCTTAGTTTTTCATCAACTATTATTTGACACCAACCTTGAATTTAATCCATGATTAAAAATTCCGCTTAAATTATTAATCTTCGGTTAGATTCAAAGTTGGCATCCAATGATAGTTTATGGAAATCTAAGACAAGAAAGTATGATCGATTTTGCTCTAAAATTAACCGATTAGGTTCTACAACCTGTCAAGGTTGCAAAAAAATTAGTTTTCACCTGTCAATATTTCCGAAACAGTTGAAGATAGGTATAGGACATGATACATGGAATAGGTTCAGAATTTAACGTAGAATTTTAAAATGAAATAAAAAATTGGTGTTTTCATTTAAAAAAATAAAGTTAGCTGTCATAACTTGTTTTTGAGCCACTCTGTATACATGGTATTATCATCAAAAAAAAACGGCCACTAAAATCAAAAATTGACGTTCCCGAGATTTTTTGAAAAATATACACCCTGTATATTTTATAGATTTTATTCCAACCTTTATGTGCTCACTGTATAAAGATGACCATTTGAGCAGATTTTTCCTTTCTCCACTCTCCCGCTCTTCCCCTCCCGTTCTTCCGCTCTCCTCTCCCATCATTTTCCATAGTCTCTCCCATCATTTTCCATAGTCGCCACTTCATTCATTTTAATGTTTTAAAAGACGTATATTCACATATTTCTACAATGGATACATTTAATAATTTGGAGAACAATGACCTTCACAGTAGCATAGTTGGATACAACGAAGGCCACTTCTTACACATTTACATGATGCCATACATCTTTGTAGCTTCAGGCAATAAGCTCTTCACAACTTTTTGCGACATCTGGAATAGTAGACCACAATGGTTGAGAGCCGTCATTGGTTTTTTCTCAACCCCAGATATCGGGTGGAGGAGTCTGGTATTCAGGGCCGCCGCTACCATGTGTTCGGTGTGTTTGAAACACACAGGCGGCCGATTGAAAGGGGCGGCCGCCGCCGATCCTGATGCAAAAAAAAAATCATACCCATCGAGTTGTATCGAAAATAAATCCCTCGAACAAATAAACCCATCAAGCTTTAATAACAAAAATAAACCGAAAGTATTTCTTCACAAATTTGTATTGTATCGCCTCTGATAACAATATCATAATACAAGCAAATAGTGGTGGAGCACCATCTATTGTACTATAGAAGACTATCGATCGAGCACTGCGTTACAAATCAAAGGTAGAGTTAAGTTTCAATTATTGTAATTACTGATTAAATAAATTAGAAGATATTTTTTTTTTATTTCTTGCGCCCACCCACATTTAATAGGTAGGTTATAATAATTTAAATAATCCATAATTTTGTAAAATTATTGAATACTCTCGATAGTATTTATCGATGGTATGAGCCTTGACTATCGATTCCTATCGATGGTGCCAACTATCGATAGTTCTCCACCACTACAAGCAAATAAACACTTGAGTCGTCAATTGTTATTTTTTATTGGGATATCGGACCTGTTCCACAGCAATCACAAACTAGTTTCAACCAATGAAATTCACTGACTGGTTTGCGATTTTCGTACGAACAGACCTATAAAATGTCGGCGACATACGCACCCGGAACGGAACATTACAGCAGACCAAACTAGTTTGTTTGTTAGCGCGCGAAAATGACCAATTTATTGTCGGCTAATGCGCATGGGTTACTTTGAACGGTTGGCGTCTCGTCTATCGTTACAAGTGCGAGCGAGATTATAAAACTCGCAGACTTTTTACGTAAAACTTGCGTAAATTCGGTGTAGTACAATTTTGTATACCTACCTACCTCTACCTACTCTTTAAGTTTTTATTTTCGGCATGAAAAAATGTCTGACAGAAAAACCAAAAGACTGTCAGGCTATCAGTATAAACAAAAGAAGAAAGCGAGGCTTGAAGAACAGCAAAAACAAGTGGTGCTTTAGAAAAATATTTGAGAACTGGAAGTGATAATGACAATGTACTTGAAAGTGACATTTCAGCAACTGAGATTTCAAGAAATGTGAGTAATAATAACGACAATGTAAATGTTGGTGCATCAACTTCAGTGGGCATCGGGTACCTCAGTGATGAATCTGTGGTGTGTTGGGAAGCTGACAAAGACATTCCGTTTACTGAAGAAAGTCATGATGTTGATAATCACAGTCACGAAAAAGAGGAAAAGGAAAAAGGGGAGAAGGACAAAAAAGAGGAGGCAGCTGAAAAAGGTATGGATGTGGAGCCTGTGGAGGCTTAAACTACTTTTCAATCTCCAGAAAAAGACAACGTTATTTGTCTAGTTTCTGACGATCCTGGTAAATGGCCTATAAACCTAACCCACAGTCAGGTACAATATATAATTGAAAATTTCCCAAAACAAGTTCAAAACATAGCATTTCCCAGAGATAAGCAAAACAAAAAATTTTCGGAGTCATATTTTTACCGTATTTTAAGCAATGGTGAAAAAATCCACCGTCATTGGTTATTATATTCTTTATCTTTAAATAGTGTTTTCTGTGCTCCTTGTAAACTATTTTGCACCGATGTCACGGTAAAAGAGAAAAAGGAGCATATCTATGGTCCAGGAGGAGTGAAAGATTGGCAACACTTATCTTTGATTTTGAAAAGGCATGAGAGCAGTTTAAGCCATATTAAATATACTAAACAAATGCATGATTTGAGTGTAGCACTGAAAAAGTTCACAACAATCGACTCCTCCAATCAGCGATTATACGAACTGGAAAAAAGTCATTGGCGCGCCGTTGTTGAAAGATTGATGCTTATTGTCAGATATTTATCTCGTCAGTGCTTGGCCTTTAGGGGTTCATCACAAAAATTATTTCAGCCAAATAACGGAAATTTCCTTCAATGGACTCCAATGATTTCCAAATTTGACGCTGTTCTTTCCGAACACTTACGTACAGTACAGTCCCAACATTACAAAAACGCGCCTCACTATCTAGGCTGGGAACATCAAAACGAAATGATTGTTATTGGCAACAACTATACAAAAATAGTATATTGTTGTATTAGGAGTAGAAGCTTCACTTTTTTGTGCTGGAGCAGTAGGTTTGCGAGCCGAACGTAGTGAGGCTTGCAATACTGCTGAAGCACAAAAAAGTGCTTCTACTCCGTATGCAACACGCTATTTTTTCTCCAAACGAATGGGGTAAGCTCCGGGGTAACTGAATGGTTAAGCGGCAGTAAAAGTACGAGCGGCACTAAAAGTACTTTTGCTGCCGCTCCAGCGGCACTAAAAGTACTTCTACTGCCGCTGCGGTTGCCTAGCAGCATAGAAATTAAATTTCTACCACCTCGACAGGTATTAACCCGCTGAATTTGTCTACCAGCATAGAAATTAAATTTCTAACATCTTGACAGGTGCTGACAAAGTGACGTTTTTTTGACGTTTGGAGAAAAAAAATATTAGACAGAATACGACAATCACAAAACATCCCCCCTTAGAAAGGTAAGTGCCGTGTTGAGAACCTGTCTATAAGTTTTCAGCGCCTCTAGTGACTGGGGGGGTAAGCTTTTGTAATTCTGGATTTATTGGCGAATGCAAAACGCAATTAGGGTTCGTTCGGTATCTTATTCGTTCCGGTGGATCGTTTGCACCATTGTTTGATTCTAGCGATTCAACACCACCACTTTAAAGTTTCTACCATTTTTTGGCATAAAATAATTGTGCCAAAAAGAAGAAACTCATAAAATCGGTAGTGTTGAAGCGCCTTCAAGGTAAAATTGACTAAGAATTAAGATAACAAATTTAGATATTTATTAAAGTTTGAAACAGAAAATATTAAAGAATATGGAATTAATTACAATTTATGCGAAACAGTTTTTTTTTCATGTAAATACATACATAGGTAGGTAATGCTAGTTAAGTTAAAGATAATAAGGACAGTTACAAGAAGTAATGACGTACATTTAACAATAGCTTGATGAAAAACTTAAATCGTAAATAAAATGACAAAAGAGGTCCTTTTCTCACAATCCAAAATCGTTGTTAACCTAACAAGTGAGGAAAGTGTTTCTGCACGTGATGGAAGTTGCAAGAATGACAACAAAAAGCAGAGTTCGGACAAGTCCAGAAAATACACTTTCCGCGTGTGTTCGGTAGAAAGTTTATGTAGTTATACATAATATAAAGCTCATTCAAGAAAATGATTTCGCCTGGATGATAGAATAAATATTTTTGATAATAGTCTATACCCTTTACCACTAGCTTTAAGCAAAGACAACGCCAACAACTTCTCGTTCAATGTAAATCGTCTAGCTTTAGGCTTTTGGTTTTGAGTACGGACTTGGCTTAAAATAAAGCTGTATATCAATGGATTGACGTGGTCTACGAGCCTTTGAAATTTGGTTTATGATGCAAGTAATTCAGCAGCAGAAACTTTGGATTTAAATGACGACAACCTTCTACTGATTCTTCTTAACTTATTGCTGGATTCTATAACTTTGGAATAAAGATATTTTTCCCTTGGGGATAGGAATTTTTTGCCTAGTGACGTTAATGTTCTTTAAAATTTGGCATCGTCTCTCATGACCTGCAAAAAAAAAATAGATCAAGATTGGAGACGAGCTTTTCGCACATTTAGCTTCTAATTTTTCTAGCATTCCACTGCAAGTTTTAGTAATTAGTAGTCTTTTATAGTAGTAGTCCTAGTTAGGATGTTTTAAAATTCACCTACTCCCAACTGGGTGGTTATTCATTAAGCAATAACACTTAGGTACCTACCAATAAAAGTTTTAAGAGACAAAGTTGGTTGCTGACTTTTTCATGTTTGTAGATGTGATGGTTCCACTTGGTGTAGCAATGTCTGCCCGAATTGCAGAAGTTTCAGTAGATAAAAATTGACGACATGAAGGGCCTGGTTGATCTAAAACAGAAATTTCGTTAACAATGATTCTACCAAAAAAGTTTGGATACACACATTGTAGAATATGGTGTACCTGTATGTAACCAGGAATATTTTAATTATTGTGTCTCCTGATAAAGGAATAAACATTTAAAAAAAAGAAATGAATAATATTAGCTTTGTTCCAACACAGCAGAAAACCGTACAATGTACCGTCACGATTCTGCGCAGAAACTAAAATTGTTATACTGAGTGGTTTCGAAACCGTTCATGGGACGATTTTTTGACGTGTTGGAACAGTTATTATGTTTACCTACCTATGTCAATCATAGTTGCGAAACTAATTTCTGAAGGCGTCTTAGGACTCTTCGACGAGTTTCAACTGTGTCGATCTCCACTTTTTGCCATTTTGGTGATTGTGGTTTATCAATTAACGACTCCTCACTGTTTTTGATAATTGGGGCTAAAATTGAAATTAATTTTAATGTTTCTGACCTATGCCCCTTTAAACCTGAATTCTAACACGTTGTCGTTAATCAGAACTATGGGGAGGAGTAAGTGAAAATGTAAGTACGTCTTTCTCACATATATCTAGTATTAACTTACCTTCAGGGAGATACAGCAAAAGCGCAGCATTCCATGTGAGTCCTCGTCTGCCTTTTGGATCGCCAACAATAAATTCTCGACGAAAATGTCTTGTTCACACTCTATAATTATTATAAGCCTTCTCGACACTGAGGCTATTTAGTAAAGGATTGCGAACTTTTTCTAGCCATTGTTTCATTTTTTCGGCATCTTTTGGAAACCGGAAATAGCTGCTGTATTTGTCACCGCACCCCGGAACACAGCATTTCTGATGCTTTTCAATTAACAAACTGGGAGAAGACATTTTGAGATAATAATTATTGATAATTGATAGGTAATTGATAATTCTAAATGTTGGGAGAAGTTCAAAATTTAAATTTTGACGACTGGAAATGACAAAATAAACTTCAAATCTTGGCGAACGGGCCGGCAGGAAAAAGAAAACTTTAATAGGTTGATTGAAGCGCCTCTAGTGATTGGAGGGGAAAGCTGAAACGACTAGACTGACGTCTCTCATAAGACTTACATTTCTAAGGGGGGATGTTTTGTGACGACAATCAAATTAGTTCTCTATAATTCTTGATTGCACCCCAGATATCTCACATACTAAACAAATAACTGTTATTCGATGTGTTCCTTGATGTGTTCCTTGCCACCCCAATTAAAATTTATGAACATTTCTTGGGATTCTGCCCAATTACAGATACAACTGGTCAAGGATTATATGAGTTTATTGTGAAAAAACTACAAGAGTTAAAACTGGATATGCATAATTTACGTGGACAAGGTTATGACAATGGAGCGAATATGCGAGGAAAACATAGGACTACAAAAAAAAATTTTGGACGCTTATCCTCGTGCATTTTTTATACCTTGTACAGCTCACAGTTTAAATCTTGTTGTGAACGATGCAGCTAAATTAAGCTTTGAATCAGTTGATTTTTTCAATTTAATTCAGGAATTGTACGTTTACTTCTCGGCATCAAATTATAGATGAATTGTTTTATTAGCGCATATTCCGAAACCTACATTAAAGCCATTATCAGATACAAGATGGGGGAGTCGTATAGAAGTAATCACACCACTAAAAACACAATTAGGTGAAATATATGATGCTCTAGCAGAATTAAAAGATGATGCAACTCGAGATATGAATACAAGAACTTTGGCAAATTCATTGGGCAAAAAAATTAGTAGCTTCAAATTTATATTTTCAACAATAATCTGGCATGCAATTTTTAGTAAAGTCAACGTGGTGAGTAAACTTATCCAAAGTCCAAAACTGAACATTAAATCTTCAGCCGAAGCCCTAGAAAATTTAAAAGACTACTTTGTTCAAATAGGATGTGACGAACATTTCAAAATATTGATGGATGCTGCAAAGCAAATTGCTGCCGATGTTGAACTAGAAGGAGAATTTCCTGCTCTTGCAGCAAAACGTATTGGAAAAAGAAAAAGACATTTTGATTACGAACACGAGGATGAAAGCATTTTGGATCCAGAGAGGTCTTTTAAAGTCAACTTTTACTTTAAAATTTTGGATGCAACGATTGTAGCTGTAAATGAGAGATTTCAACTATTATACAAACATATTAACATCTTTAAAATATTATATAATATACATGAATATGGTGATCTTAGAGACAATGAATTGAAAGCCCACTGTGCCGAAGCGGAACTAGCCTCGAGAGACAAGGAGCTAAACCATAGCGACATTAACGGGCAGGAATTATTCGAAGAAATTAAAGCTATGCAACCCCATCTTAAATCTGATATGGATACAATTGAAATTCTAGAATACATACTTCAAAATAATTTATCATCATCTTTTCCCAATTTAACTGTGCTAATTAGAATTTTCTTGACATTACCAGTCACTGTGGCAACTGGAGAACGTTCATTTTCCAAACTCAAGTTGATAAAAAACTATCTTGGGTCATCTATGAGTCAGGAAAGATTATCGGCTTTGGCAACTCTCTCTATTGAACACGAATTGTGCGATACCATAGACCTTAATAGTGTGTTGAAAAAATTTTCAGAAACAAAATCTCGAAGAGTGCAATTTTAACTATCATCCTAAAAACAAATTAAGAAGTGTTTTAAAGCTCCCCGGTGTAAACTTTGCCGGTGCTTTATTTCACCATAAGGTAAGTTTTCTGTTGAAAATGTATGTCAGTTTAATTCATAGTTTCTAGAATATTACCAATTTTTGTAATTTTATTTTTGAAATGATTTCGTTAATAATTATTGAATTTTGTTTATTTCTATTTTATATTTGGACATTGACTTTTTATGTTTTATGATTGAAAAATATTGATTTTTACAAGTTTGCTAGAAAATGGTAAAAGTTTACATAAATTGTATTCCACTCCAACCGTCTTGATTTTGTATTTAGGAGGGGAGTGGGGCGGCGAAAATTGTCTGGGCACACAGGCGGCCAACACCCTAGCGGCGGGGACGTGCATGAACTGCGCAGTTTCTTAATCTCTTAATGAGGGGTCCTTTTAGAACCTAGAATACTTACCACGAATTGCGCACTGGTTCAATTGCAGGTAATTTTAGAAATAATTATTAACCCCTTTTCCTAAGGGGTACAACCCTATTAGAAGGTCAGTTTTATAAAACACATCCATCCTTGTATATTTTTGTAAATATCTTAAATGAAATTCAGACAGAAACGTATATAAAATTACAAAGTATCGATGAAACTTAGAAAGAAAAAAGAAAAGATTATTTAGTATCCAAAAATAGGCAGGCTTCAATATATAAAATGTTTAATAGTATATTACCTGACATGTTCTCATTGTTGCCAGCAAAGGTAAATAAATTTGAGTGAGGGAAATCGGTGAGGGAAATCGACGAGGGAAGTGACACAGGTAAAGTGTCACTTCCAAATTTTAAAAAAGTCAGTAATGTCAAGATTACACATATGGTTGCAGATAAAAGATATTTTTATATGCAATAGACTAATAATAACGAATTGTATATTGTTATAATCCAACTTAGTAGATACAATTTTTTTTTGTGTGAGTAAAAGAAAATATTGTTGATATTATGGACATATTATTTTTACCTAATTATCATAGGTAATCTTCGGGTGCGCAATTCGAGTACTGTGAATTTGGGGCCTCTTTTGTACATTGCGCAATTCGTGTTAAAATAAATAGGACCCAGGTATAAAGTGCGCAATTCGAGGCCGCCCAGCGGCGGCGCTGCTGGTATTCATTTTCCAGGCAGTGTAGCCATAAAAGACCTTGCAAGGTTGCTCTCTTTGTATGTTGGAGTAACGCATTTTTAGTTAGTGGAATGTTTTCAATTGCTCTATTTTTTTTATGAAAAGGTGTTGTCTGCATTCGAACAGTTGATTCGGATGTTGTTGTTATTGCAGTATCTGCTTTTTCAAAACTTACAAGTATTCAACAACTTTGGATAGATTTTGGGACAGGAAAAAATCGAAGGTTTATAGAAACCCATGAGCTCTGCTCTCGTTTATCTCGAGAGATCTGCAACTTTTCACCAATATTTCATTCCATAACAGGTTGCGATACTGTGTCGTCATTTTGCGGAGTAGGTAAGAAAGGGGCGTGGAAGGTGTGGATGGCATATCAGAATATTAATGCAGCTTTCGAGCAACTACTTATGGGAAGATCTCCAACTGAAGAAATAATGCGCGAGATTCAAAGATTTGTAGTTCTTGTCTACGATTCGACATCTCCCTTCAGCTCTGTCAACGAATGCAGACAACACCTTTTCATAAAAAAAAAGAGCAATTGAAAACATTCCACCAACTGAAAATGCGTTACTCCAACATACAAAGAGAGCAACCTTGCAAGGCCTTTTATGGCTACACTGCCTGGAAAATGAATACCAGACTCCTCCATCCGATATCTTGGGGTTAGGAAAAAACCAATGACCGCTTTCAACCATTATTGTGGTCTACTATCCCAGATGTCGCAAAAAGTTTTGAAGAACTTATTGCCTGTAGTTGCAAACAAAGATGTATGGCAGCATGTAAGTGTGTAAGAAGCGGCCGTCGTTGTACCCATCTATGCCACTTTGAAGGTCATTGTTCGCAAAATAATTGAATGTATCTATAGTAGAATATATGACTATACGTCTTCTATGTAGACTTGGTGATTTTTTTCTTTCTTTTATGGTTTAAAAATCGGGTCTCTTAGAGAAATAATATGGACAAATCTTTTGATTTTCTAAATACAGTCACCGACAGAAAATTCGGGACAATCAAAATTTAGATCAAATTTGATGTAGGATAACTTTTTCTTCCATAGTCCGATTTCAATCTTTTTTTTTTCATAATGTAGATAATTGTTTCGGTTTTAATTAATTTTATTCAATTTTCAAAAATACAGTTTACATGTTGGAATATGCCAGGAAAATAAAAAAGTATATTTTTTCTCTTAACTTTGTAACACTCTGTAGAGTAATTTTGCGAACTAAGCTACACTGGATATGCTTTTCTGGAGAGTTTGATCCATTTTCAACATTTTGCTGTTTTATCGGTCTTGGTATCTTTATCGGTTTGGGAGATATGAATTTTTGAAATAAACATTACACTTTTTGATCAAGTCTAAATTTTTGAAATAAACCTTACACTTTTTGATCAAGTCTATTTTTAATTGAAGCATGGAAGTAGGGGTTTTAAAAGTTAGTTTTTCGTGTTACCTCCTCTTGCTCTTATAACAGATACTAAACGTCGATTCATTCCTCTAATCAGGTTTTGGATATCCTGTTGTGGAATAGCAGCCCATTCTTCTTCCAAAGCATTTCGGAGCTGTTGGAGAGTGAACAACTGTCCTCGGCGTTTCCTAATTCGTCTACCTAACATGTCCCATACATGTTCTATGGGATTAATGTCAGGACTACGAGCGGGCCAGCGCATAACGTTTATTCCAACCTCTTCTAAATATTGGGCCACTATTCTGGCAGTATGTGGACGGGCATTGTCATGCATGAAAACGAATTCGCTGCCGATAAATTGTGCAAAAGTATCGTAGTATAGTATATATTATATAGTATATATATATCACTACTTCTATTTTGCATAGATGCACAAAAATTGGATTGGTTTTCTTTGCTTTTCCTAGCCATACTGATGAGACCTGATATAGGTCGAAACGCGTCTATGGATGGAAAAGCAAAGATAATTAAACCAAAATTTTCTAATCAGTGTATAATAAGGAGAAATCTTTTTTTCCTATTTTGGGTTTTCCCAACGAACTGATTTTTGGTCGGCCAATTAGATGGCATCACTAATACAGCAAAAATTGCTGTTTAGTGTTGAATCCTTGTCTTAGATGGCGCCACGATCAAATTTCGACCGTCTTACTTCTTATATATATATGTATATATACAGGGTTAGTAAAAAGTACTGCAACACTTAAATATCTTCAAAACCACTTAAGCCGCGTTCACACAATTCGGAATCTGAGAGTTTTTGAACACGCGAAATTGAACAGTGCTATTGGCAATGTTGCCAGATTTCTCAGTTCTGCGCTACAGGTAGTATTTTTGTTATCCTAAATAGAATGCCTCATTTATTTTTAATGTAATGAATCGGGCATGCCAAATTTGATAAGAATCCAAATTTTCAGAATTCTATCTCTACTAGTTGCTGAAATATGACAACACCGTATTTTCGGCGAAAAGTATCGCAACGCTTGAATATCTTCAAACGCCGCTTAAGCTCGTTCACGAAATTTGGCATCTGAGGTTTTTTGGGCAAGCGAAATTGAACTGTGATATCGGCATTGCTGCCAGATTTCCCAGTTTTGCGCTACACGTATTCTTTTTGTTTTCTTGAATAGAATGCCCCATTTCTTTTTATTGCAATAAATTGGGCGTGCCAAATTTGATAAGATTCCAAACTTCCAGAGTTCTATCTTTACTATTTGCTGAAATATGTCAACACTGCATTTTCAGTGAACAGTATCGCAACGCTTGAATATCTTTGAAACAAGCTCGTCCACTAAATTCGGTATCTGGGGATGTATGGGGAAGCGAAATTCAACTGTGATATCGGCATTGTTGCCAAGTTCCCCAGTTTCGCGCTACACGCAATCTGATCAAATTTCACACGCCCAATTTATTGCAATAAAAATAAAAGGGGCATTCTATTTAAGAAAACAAAAAGATTACGTGTAGCGCAAAACTGGGAAATTGTTGCCAGATTTCCCAGTTTTGCGCTACACATAATCTTTTTGTTTTCTTGAATAGAATGCCACTTTTATTTTTATTGCAATAAATTGGGCGTGTGAAATTTGATCAGATTGCGTGTAGCGCGAAACTGGGAAACTTGGCAACAATGCCGATATCACAATTGATTTTTGCTTGCTCAAAAACCCCCACATGGCAAAATTCGTGAAAATGCTTAAGTGATGTTTGAAGATATTCAAGCGTTGCGATACTTTTCACCGAAAATACGGTGTTGTCATATTTCAGCAACTAGTAGAGATAGAATTCTGAAAATTTGGAATCCTATCAAACTTGGCACGCCGAATTCATTGCAATAAAAATAAATGGGGCATTCTATTTAAGATAACAAAAAGACTACGTCTGGCGCAAAACTGGGAAATCTGGCAACATTGCCAATGGCACTGTTCAATTCCGCATGCCCAGAAACTGTCAGATTC